AGTGTGATACACGATATACTTTCATACACGATACTATACACAGTGATACACGATATACTTTATACATGATACATGGTGATACACGATATACTTTATACACGATACTATACATGGTGATACACGATATACTTTATACACGATACACAGTGATAATCGTTATACTTTATACACGATACACAGTGATACACGATATACTTTATACACGATACGATACACAATGATACACGATATACTTTATACACGATACACAGTGATACACGATATACTTTATACACGATACACAGTGATACACGATATACTTTATACACGATACACAGTGATAATCGTTATACGTTACACACGATACACAGTGATACACGATATACTTTATACACGATACACAGTGATACACGATATACTTTATACACGATACACAGTGATACACGATATACTTTATACACGATACACAGTGATACACGATATACTTTATACACGATACACAGTGATACACGCTATACTTTATACACGATACTATACACATTGATACAAGATATACTTTATACACAGTGATACACGATATACTTTATACACGATATCATACACAGCGATACACTATCTACTTTAAACACGATACTATACACAATTATACACGATATACTTTATACACGATATCATACACAGTGATACACGATATACTTTATACACGATACGATACACTATGATACACGATATACTTTATACACGATACACAGTGATACACGATATACTTTCAACACGATACACAGTGATACACGATATACTTTATACACGATACGATACACAATGATACACGATATACTTTATACACGATACACAGTGATATACGATATAATTTATACACGATACACAATGATGATCCTTATACTTTATACATACAGTGATATACTTTATACACGTGATACACGATATACTTTATACACGATATCATACACAATGATACACGATATACTTTATACACGATACACAGTGATACACGATATATTTTATACACGATATTATACACAGTGATATACGATATACTTCCAACACGATACTATACAGTGATACACGATATACTTTATACACGATGATATACTACACAGTGATATACACAATGTGATACACGATATACTTTATACACGACTATACACAGTGATATATATACTTTATACACTTTATACAGTGATACACGATATACTTTCAACACGATACTATACAGTGATACACGATATACTTTATACACGATACTATACACAGTGATACACGATATACTTTCAACACGATACTACATAGTGATACACGATATACTTTATACACGATACACAGTGATACACGATATACTTTATACACGATACTATACACGGTGATATACGATATAATTTATACACGATACACAGTGATAATCATTATACTTTATACACGATACACAGTGATATACGACATAATTTATACACGATACACAGTGATAATCGTTATACCTTATACACGATACACAGTGATACACGATATAATTTATACACGATACGCAATGATGATCCTTATACTTTATACACCATACACAATGATACACGATATACTTTATACACGATACTATACACAGTATACACGTACTGTATATACTTTATACACGTACTGTATCTACTTTATATACGTACTGTATATACTTTATACACATACTGTATATACTTTATACACGTACTGTATCTACTTTATATACGTACTGTATATACTTTATACACATACTGTATATACTTTATACACGTACTGTAACTACTTTATACACGTAGTGTATATACTTTATACACGTACTGTATATACTTTATACACGTACTGTATCTACTTGATATACGTACTGTATATACTTTATACACGTAATGTATCTACGTACTGTATATACTTTATATACATGCTGTATCTATTTTATACACGTACTGTATCTACTTTATACACGTACCGTATATACTTTATACACGTACTGTATATACTTTATACACATACTGTATATACTTTATATATGTACTCTATATACTTTATACATGTACTGTCTACTGTATACACGTACTGTATCTACTTTATATACGTACTGTATATACTTTATACACGTAATGTATCTAAGTACTGTATATACTTTATATACGTGCTGTATATACTGTATACACGTATTGTATCTACTTAATATACGTACTGTATATACTTTATATACGTACTGTATATACTTTATACACGTACTGTATCTACTTGATACACGTACTGTATCTACTTTATATACGTAATGTATATACTTTATACACGTACTGTATCTACGTACTGTATATACTTTATACACGTACTGTATATACTTTATATACGTACTGTATATACTTTATATACGTGCTGTATATACTTTATACACGTACTGTATCTACGTACTGTATCTTCTTTATACACGTACTGTATATAGTGTATATACGTACTGTATATACTTTATACACGTACTGTATATACTTTATACACGTAATGTATCTACGTACTGTATATACTTTATATACGTGCTGTATCTACTTTATATACGTACTGTATATACTGTATACACGTGCTGTATCTACTTAATATACGTACTGTATATACTTTATATACGTACTGTATATACTTTATACACGCACTGTATCTACTTGATACACGTACTGTATCTACTTTATATACGTACTGTATATACTTTATACACGTACTGTATCTACGTACTGTATATACTTTATACACGTACTGTATATACTTTATATACGTACTGTATATACTTTATACACGTACTGTATCTTCTTTATACACGTACTGTATATAGTGTATATACGTACTGTATATACTTTATACACGTACTATATCTACTTTATACACGCACTGTATATACTTTATATACGTACTGTATATACTTTATACACGTAGACAATATGTACTTGGAATGTTTTATTTACTTTTGATACGTAAGCTTTACTTTAAATTGGTATAAAACTTATGATATCAGGAAAAGCGATGATATATTTGTCAAACTCAAATATATCCCAACTCTTGCTTTCCTGGAACTGAAACAAGTTCTCAATTTTACTCTAGATATAGCGAGTATATGTCCACGATCATCGCCATTTTGAGTAGCGTTTGTCTTGTCCGAGACATTCACAAGAGAACATTTAGCATGTAAAGTTGGTTCAAATATGTCAATGGCCCTAACGTCGACCTCAATATTGAACCAACTTTTCAATATCCATGTTCATATGAATGAAATTCAATCCATATATTAAATCAAAAAGTTGAATGTCACTGCATGCGTTCATACAGGCATGGATGCTGGTACCTGTATAGAGGGCACGTGTCAAATCTAATTAGTTTCATTTCAAATTAGAATGAAATTGACGGCATTTTTATGTTACCAAAACCCATCATCTCTGTGATAAGGAATACTGGTGTAAAGGATGTTGACTGTACATTCACAACTATGCCATCATACAGGAAAATTAAATAGGAATCAGATAAACCAAGTGACTATTGATGATACTTTATATAGGCCTGGAAATCTTAGATTCCATGGCCACCACTCGATGTCCTTGCACATCAGAACATCTCTCTATGAATAGTTAAACTATAGTGGGGCCTGCGCAGCAAGTCAAACACGGACTTCACAAAACCAATCGATATAATATAGCAGTTTTCCCGTTATATGTTTAATAACGAATATAATTTTCATTTTGTACACAATGTATATTTTAAAGTAGATTTACATACATATGTGTACTTAATCCCTGCGGCAACGAGTTGTGAGGATGTAATTAACCGGCGTACCGTTACAACAGTACCGCCTGTTTGATATAGACAGTCTAACAGATGTACGGTACTTTACAGAACTCTCCAAAAATCGATTCCCGATCGATCGCTACCTTGATGTTCGCTCGTGCCCTAATGTATTTTGGTTAATATCAGAGAATCGTTGCCCATTTTCAATACCAGAATATACACAGCACCCTAGAAACACATCCGTGTAAACGTGCACTCGGTTAACAGTGTCGATGACAATACCCTATGCCCAATCAATTACCAGGCCGAGCCGCGTCCCTCTATGTAGTAGCCCAAACTCATTCCTTGCAATGTCAAGATGCAATCTGTTGATACTTTAGGTCGTATGACGTTGTTCATATCTACCTGAACACATGGGAAGCTGGTCACTCGCGCGTGCTGTAGCTATTGTTCCTATAGGTAGATATATGTAGATAGTGGCTGCGGTGAAAGTTATACCTGATAGAGCTGTCAACGATACATTGTTCTGCTCGCTGGTGCTTCTATCTGCTGTAGTAAAGCAGGAAGGACAGTTGCTCACAGTAAGACGAAGTGTGAAGGTAAGCCATGTGCGGAATATAGGATACGCAGACCTGCACACACACTGACGGATATTTCACAGGGATGTAACGCTTTCTCTTGATAGTTTCTGAATTTAGTGAATATGTGTTATCAAGTGGCCTCTAGGCATCAAAAGGAGAACTAAATCGTCTCTTGTCGTAATGTCTATTGATTTCCCCTCCTTCACGTGCTCCCATGAAAAGCTTTTGGAGGGAACCTATATTTACGCAAACTGGGAAACTATCAAGAAAGTCAGTATTGGACGACACGGGGAGCGCTCTGGGTTATATCCGAATTATAGTGAATTAATTTCGAAGAAATGAACATATCTCAAGGATTACTATTAAATTTAACGCCGCCATCTCGACAAATTTGACTATAAAAATAATCACATGTCAGTAATTCAAAATGATAAAAGATGCAAATATGTCGTAATAGAATACTCCATAACACAGTGATTCTTTCATAACCGAGTATCTTGGGGGGGAAGAGGAGAGAGAAGAAAATTGGAGTTTTCCCATTTTAATTTCTTTATCCTTTTTTTTCTGGAAGTATAAAATGAGGCATCATTCGTTTTATTGTCAATATTCTTAAAATATGGTTTTAGATGTGTAACAACATAAGTGCTCTGGAGGGGCTGAATGGTGCTCCTTTCTGGAAGCATGGCGCGATCTGGTCACCGGGGGTGTTGCTATGTTCTTCACCTCCGGGAGGATAACGCCAGATTTATTCTGCTGTTCATTGTTTTGGGGATCTATATGATCACTGGAGCTGTAGTGTTTATGATTCTAGAGCAGGATAACGAAGTGCTGGAGAAACAAGTATACCTGGATAGGTTAGACACGTTTCTCAGAGCTTACCCGTCCATCAACAGGACAGATTTCGACGCCATTCTACAGATTCATGCGGAAGCAGATTCCGCAGGGTTTGCTGGTACCAAACGACCACGATGGGATTTCCCGGGCTCATTTTATTTCGTTGGAACAGTCGTATCTACAATAGGTAAGTTTTGAAATCAATGACTACTTTATTCATTGTTTGTTTTTGTATACAATAACGAAGGTTAGGGTTTGGTGAATTCTTACCACTTTGAAAACAGTATTTATCATAGATGAACAAACTCAATTTTGATTCCTTCACCGGATTATATTCTGTGTAAAATGATTCCGGCATCTCGACAGCTATTGAAATAATCCAATATAGAAAGGGCCAATATTTGATACAGCTTTCATTAACACCGTATGGCAATATCAATATTCTATATGAGTGATATTCAAACTATTCGGCGGTCAGTCAGAAACATCACTTCTTATAGTCGAAGGTATTGATTTTGGTGATAATTAACGGCTGGGGTGGTGGTGCTGTTAGACACGACACTGATGCCACTGAATCAGTCCTAAGCTGAAATTGTCGATATCATTCTAAGGTACCCCATCCCCTTCAACCAATGTCATTGGTTACGGCGCTACAGGTCACCTGACGCTGTGTTAATCTCTTTGTTGTAAACTTTTATTAAAATATTTGAAGGCCACAATCGTCCGATATTCAAAAAATTAGATTTTACTTGGTTTTGAATTATAGTATAACGTGTGGTTTGAGGTATTGGTCAGTATATATTGTCTTGCCGGACTAATAAATAGCTGTTGGTATCACTTTCATTGCACTAAATAGCTATTTAAAAACACTCTTTCTATACTGCGTTAGGCGCGTTAGTCAAAATACACAATATACTCAGCTGTGGCGTCTTTGGGAGTCACTTTTATTTTGTTAATTGAATTGCTTTCCAACGTATGCACGGTTCAACCACTGTGACTAGATGGAAGTGCTATGGATCTGGTGTAATCCCCTGTAGCGGATATGACACTCGTGCGAATCAGTGTTCCGTGTACTTGTTCTGCTCCACTGATATCGATTAGTACCACTGTTACAGATTCATCAGATACTCTTTGTTTGTCAGCCACAGAAATTTGCACGTCATGCTGAAAAAAAGCACCGCGGGGCGAATACACAACGATTACCTATATGAACTGTTAGTATCGCTCGTCACTGTTGTATAGGCTACTTGCTGTCATGGTAGCAGACACAAGAGTCACACGAAATCTTTTAACCTTAGATACTAAAACTGTTTTCCCAACTTGTGATGATATCAAGGCGTAGAACTGCTATTTCTGCAGTGGGTGGAGAAACACATCAAAGCTATTTCATGTTAAATGAAATTAGGAGCCGGAAAGTTATCTCGAAGTCGTTTTTAGTGATGACACTTTTATAATTTTGTAGTTATTTCCTGTTTTCTTATTTACGAACTATACTTTCAAATGACAAGTATCTATTACAGGCATCAATAAGGTAAATATTATACCCCTTCAGGAACTCGAGGGAATATATTTTAATTAATCAACGAATCTTCATTGAGGAATGTAGGGAGATTTATTTGGAGTTTGGGAGATATGGGAATTTCGGGAACAAAAAAGGTCAGCCCCCATGATAATCTAATGGAAAAGTGTACAGAACAAAAAAGGTCAGCCCCATGACAATCTAATGGAAAAGTGTACAGAACAAAAAAGGTCATCAGCCCCCATGATAATCTAATGGAAAAGTGTACAGAACAAAAAAGGTCATCAGCCCCCATGACAATCTAATGGAAAAGTGTACAGAACAAAAAAGGTCAGCCCCCATGACAATCTAATGGAAAAGTGTACAGAACAAAAAAGGTCAGCCCCCATGACAATCTAATGGAAAAGTGTACAGAACAAAAAAGGTCAGCCCCCATGATAATCTAATGGAAAAGTGTACAGAACAAAAAAGGTCATCAGCCCCCATGATAATCTAATGGAAAAGTGTACAGAACAAAAAAGGTCAGCCCCCATGATAATCTAATGGAAAAGTGTACAGAACAAAAAAGGTCAGCCCCCATGATAATCTAATGGAAAAGTGTACAGAACAAAAAAGGTCAGCCCCCATGATAATCTAATGGAAAAGTGTACAGAACAAAAAAGGTCAGCCCCCATGATAATCTAATGGAAAAGTGTACAGAACAAAAAAGGTCAGCCCCCATGATAATCTAATGGAAAAGTGTACAGAACAAAAAAGGTCAGCCCCCATGATAATCTAATGGAAAAGTGTACAGAACAAAAAAGGAAAAGTGTACAGAACAAAAAAGGTCAGCCCCCATGATAATCTAATGGAAAAGTGTACAGAACAAAAAAGGTCATCAGCCCCCATGATAATCTAATGGAAAAGTGTACAGAACAAAAAAGGTCAGCCCCCATGATAATCTAATGGAAAAGTGTACAGAACAAAAAAGGTCAGCCCCCATGATAATCTAATGGAAAAGTGTACAGAACAAAAAAGGTCAGCCCCCATGATAATCTAATGGAAAAGTGTACAGAACAAAAAAGGTCAGCCCCCATGACAATCTAATGGAAAAGTGTACAGAACAAAAAAGGTCAGCCCCCATGATAATCTAATGGAAAAGTGTACAGAACAAAAAAGGTCAGCCCCCATGATAATCTAATGGAAAAGTGTACAGAACAAAAAAGGTCAGCCCCCATGATAATCTAATGGAAAAGTGTACAGAACAAAAAAGGTCAGCCCCCATGATAATCTAATGGAAAAGTGTACAGAACAAAAAAGGTCAGCCCCCATGATAATCTAATGGAAAAGTGTACAGAACAAAAAAGGTCAGCCCCATGAGAACAAAAAAGGTCATCAGCCCCCAATCTAATGGAAAAGTGTACAGAACAAAAAAGGTCAGCCCCCATGATAATCTAATGGAAAAGTGTACAGAACAAAAAAGGTCAGCCCCCATGATAATCTAATGGAAAAGTGTACAGAACAAAAAAGGTCAGCCCCCATGATAATCTAATGGAAAAGTGTACAGAACAAAAAAGGTCAGCCCCCATGACAATCTAATGGAAAAGTGTACAGAACAAAAAAGGTCAGCCCCCATGATAATCTAATGGAAAAGTGTACAGAACAAAAAAGGTCAGCCCCCATGATAATCTAATGGAAAAGTGTACAGAACAAAAAAGGTCAGCCCCCATGATAATCTAATGGAAAAGTGTACAGAACAAAAAAGGTCAGCCCCCATGATAATCTAATGGAAAAGTGTACAGAACAAAAAAGGTCAGCCCCCATGATAATCTAATGGAAAAGTGTACAGAACAAAAAAGGTCAGCCCCCATGATAATCTAATGGAAAAGTGTACAGAACAAAAAAGGTCATCAGCCCCCATGATAATCTAATGGAAAAGTGTACAGAACAAAAAAGGTCAGCCCCCATGATAATCTAATGGAAAAGTGTACAGAACAAAAAAGGTCAGCCCCCATGATAATCTAATGGAAAAGTGTACAGAACAAAAAAGGTCAGCCCCCATGATAATCTAATGGAAAAGTGTACAGAACAAAAAAGGTCAGCCCCCATGATAATCTAATGGAAAAGTGTACAGAACAAAAAAGGTCAGCCCCCATGATAATCTAATGGAAAAGTGTACAGAACAAAAAAGGTCAGCCCCCATGATAATCTAATGGAAAAGTGTACAGAACAAAAAAGGTCAGCCCCCATGATAATCTAATGGAAAAGTGTACAGAACAAAAAAGGTCAGCCCCCATGATAATCTAATGGAAAAGTGTACAGAACAAAAAAGGTCAGCCCCCATGATAATCTAATGGAAAAGTGTACAGAACAAAAAAGGTCAGCCCCCAGAAAAAGTGTACAGAACAAAAAAGGTCAGCCCCCATGATAATCTAATGGAAAAGTGTACAGAACAAAAAAGGTCAGCCCCCATGATAATCTAATGGAAAAGTGTACAGAACAAAAAAGGTCAGCCCCCATGATAATCTAATGGAAAAGTGTACAGAACAAAAAAGGTCAGCCCCCATGATAATCTAATGGAAAAGTGTACAGAACAAAAAAGGTCAGCCCCCATGATAATCTAATGGAAAAGTGTACAGAACAAAAAAGGTCAGCCCCCATGATAATCTAATGGAAAAGTGTACAGAACAAAAAAGGTCAGCCCCCATGATAATCTAATGGAAAAGTGTACAGAACAAAAAAGGTCAGCCCCCATGATAATCTAATGGAAAAGTGTACAGAACAAAAAAGGTCAGCCCCCATGATAATCTAATGGAAAAGTGTACAGAACAAAAAAGGTCAGCCCCCATGATAAACGCAAGGAAAACAGTACACAAAAAAAAAGGTCAGCCCCCATGATAATCTAATGGAAAAGTGTACAGAACAAAAAAGGTCAGCCCCCATGATAATCTAATGGAAAAGTGTACAGAACAAAAAAGGTCAGCCCCCATGATAATCTAATGGAAAAGTGTACAGAACAAAAAAGGTCAGCCCCCATGATAATCTAATGGAAAAGTGTACAGAACAAAAAAGGTCAGCCCCCATGATAATCTAATGGAAAAGTGTACAGAACAAAAAAGGTCAGCCCCCATGATAATCTAATGGAAAAGTGTACAGAACAAAAAAGGTCAGCCCCCATGATAATCTAATGAAAAGTGTAATCTAATGGAAAAGTGTACAGAACAAAAAAGGTCAGCCCCCATGATAATCTAATGGAAAAGTGTACAGAACAAAAAAGGTCAGCCCCCATGATAATCTAATGGAAAAGTGTACAGAACAAAAAAGGTCATCAGCCCCCATGATAATCTAATGGAAAAGTGTACAGAACAAAAAAGGTCAGCCCCCATGATAATCTAATGGAAAAGTGTACAGAACAAAAAAGGTCAGCCCCCATGATAATCTAATGGAAAAGTGTACAGAACAAAAAAGGTCAGCCCCCATGATAATCTAATGGAAAAGTGTACAGAACAAAAAAGGTCAGCCCCCATGATAATCTAATGGAAAAGTGTACAGAACAAAAAAGGTGGGAAAAGTGTACAGAACAAAAAAGGTGATAATCTAATCAGCCCCCCTATGATAATCTAATGGAAAAGTGTACAGAACAAAAAAGGTCAGCCCCATGACAATCTAATGGAAAAGTGTACAGAACA